GTCAGCCGGTCGCACGGAGCTGGTTATCTGCTGGTGGCTGGCAACCCACCTCCCTTCAGCACAGACGCCGGATCCTATCCGACAGACAGCCATAACGCACGCCGTGTCGCCGCGGACTTATCGCGGGGCTGGTCGGGACACGGTGCCGGCACCTAATGAAAGGTTACGGCACTACGCCATGCCAGATTTTAACCTGCCTAACTGCAGCCAGGGCTATGCATCTGAATGAGACGTGGAAACTAAACACGAAGTACTACGGGAAGCATACAAAGATACTGTGAAAAAGTGTTCATATATTTACTAGTTCTTTTAAGGGACAAAAAAAGTCCTGTTTTGGTTTTTTAACTAGCTGTATGGAAATCTTGCCTTTATGTAAAACAGCCAGATATGTGTTAGAATACAATGGAAAAAATTACAAATATGTTATGCAGGCTTTTTGATTCCTCGAGGTCTATGACAACAACATCATTTCTGCTGGCTTACAGTTGTAAAAAACTAATGAAAGCTAATGCTAATGTTAGCTAACGAAAGAGCTACTTCTTGAAAACAAGTCTGATGCTGTAAAATACAGTTTATAGACACAAGAGCAAGTCACTGATATACCAAATTAATTGAGAGACTTGCAAGTGCTTGGACCTTGGGTAAACAGTCATCTAACAGCTCGCAGAGAATGATGCTGTTCAGTTGTTATTAGACTGGAGGGGATTCAGTCTGGCATCCTGATTTTGATAAGCTCAATGTCTGCTAATACTTAGCATGCACACATTCATTATTTTAGTTTTACTTTTAAAAGTTGGGGATTAGCAAGCATAGAAAGAGTCTTTTTTGGTTTTAAAGTTTAAAAATAAAGTTATTACATGTCTAAATCCAAAAAAGGCACATGCAAAACCATGGTCACTACTGAAAGCCACCCTTCGAAAGGGGCAGGCTTAAGGTTTAGGCGCTTAACTTTGGGCCTGGGAAAGCTGAGCCCAACTTTCTGCTCCGCAACGCCTCTCCCGCGCGCAGACAGGGAAGCGGCGAGGCTCCTAACACATCACTTCTCCGCGTGTCAAACGAGGCCAGCAGTACTGCCATAGCCCTCCAATGTGAGGACAGTGACAAAAATGGAAACAGAAGGCAGGGAAAGGCCTGGGTGATCATGTAAAACCTTTCATAATTTTACCCAAAATCATGATGTCGTCTTAAAACCGTTCCTGCTTCTTGCCTTCACTATTTTTTGGAGGGCTGTCGATAAAGGAAAGTGACAGCCTCCACACTGTGGTGGTGGTACCAAAAGCAAACAGACATCAATAAACACACAGCGTGTGTTGTCGGATGCCTGAATAACGCTATGCCTTTCTTACCTGTCACATAGGCAAATACATCAGAAATCACATCATCTTTCATAATGGCAGGACTTTACAAAAGGCATCCAGTAATACCTGGTGGACAAAACCCTGTTATCAACTCACTAGTGACCGCAACAGCGAAAAAGCCTTGTACTCCTCAGTATTAATGACGAGCAAGTACCTGGGTAACAGCAAACCGTGCGGATATTCAGCGGTCTTTGCCTCTTGCTGGTCCCTGCCTTTCCGACAGCCTGCACCTTACATATTCAGGTGTCTGCAGGAGGTAAAACTTAGGACAAGCAATTTACATTTAACTCCATTTTTACGTGGAAAAGGATGAAATTTACAGAAAAATTAAGGGGACTGATATGCAAATAGCTGTGATTTACAGCCTTCTTTTTGAGAGACTATGTCAGGCTTTCAGAGGTCTGAATAAGCTACATGAGCCCGAAGGAGGGCGGGAGAACCAAACCCTGACATATAAAGCAACAGGGCTCCAAAATATCCCCCAAATCACATTTTGACCATTTCACCTGCTGCGGCCGCAGGGTCAGCTCCAAGCTGGAGGTGCATTTCCACCAGCAGCCGTCCTGCTCCCGTCCTGGCTGCGGTGCGGCGGCCGTGCCACCGAGGCGGGAGCCGGACAGGCGCGGAGGCATCGTCCCCGCGCTGACGCCTGTCATCCTGTCAGCCTTGACCTTCAGGCTGTCCTCAGCACCCGCACCGCAGCCCGCCTGCACTTCCCCGCTGACTGCGAGCGACTGTTGTCTCGCTGCCTGACCTTACACAAACACGATACAAACAGACAGCCCACCTCAGCTCCATCACTGTCTGCTGCTAATACAGGAGATTGATAGCCACATGAAATTATCTCCCTGCTCGACCTTCATTACTGGGTGGCATATTCTGACTGACAGCCAACCTCATTCTGGAGAAAGCTAAACCACCCATTTGGGTTTTTTTTACTGTCTAAAAGTGAAGGAACTTCCTTTTACAAAGAAAAACAACACTTTCTCAGATTCGACAGAAAAAGAAGCCTTTGTTAAACAGAAAGATGTCTCATAACTTGAATCTTTCCCAGACCACCACGCATACCGATAACAACGCAATGCACGCCGCAAGGCTACTAGAAGATGCTCCGTCGGATGCTGTGCCAGGACCCGGGGACGGCGGGCTGCCACCTCTACAAATTTTACACAGAAAGTTTTCAGCTCTGCCATGAGCTATAGGGTTCCTGGGGAGAGCACGGCCGGCCCTAAGGCAACGAGCAACGTATGGTCGTGGTAGGTGGGAGGAAGGGACGTAGCTAAAGCGAACCCAGCTCTACATGTCGCAACTGCTGGTAAGGACTGCATGGGGAAATACTGGCTTTCTGTCACGCTCTGCCAGCATTGCAAATGCACGATGCATGTGGCCTAAGCAGCTTTCAGAAAAGAAATTGTGACCCTTCCGCTCAGATATTCAGATTTCTAATAGTAGACATGAAAGATACAGAGTCACGTTTTCTCTCAGATCCCCTGCGGTCCCTTTTTGTGACCTCCCGACAGCAGAGGCCAGAAACCGCACGCCACAGTCTCTGTACCAAACTCCTCCAGCTCCCGGGCGTCAGGCAGAGCCTGCCCTGGTGAGAAAGTGCAATGCCGCAGCCTTGCAGCTCCCGTGATCCCCAGGCAACAGAGACGGCAGCGACCAAGGAGGAATATGAACCTTCATCCTCCTCATGTGAAGTCAACCATCAGCTAAAGACAGCCAAGTCACAGCAAAATATCTCGTTCCTTTCTTGGAATATTTTAAATGAATTACTCCACCAGCCTGTCCACGGCCGAGTTGCCCATTTGGCAGCGCCCAGCGGTCTCCCGGCGAGGTGCGGCAGCCACAGGCAGCCCTGGGCAGCTGTACAGGCACAGGACTGGGGTCTACACATTGCACAGGTTTTAAAGCAAAACATTTTCCTCAGCCCACAACTCTCCAGCCCCGCGGGGAGGGAATGGTGAGGTGTCAGCATGGCCAGTACTGTCAGCTCTTGCCACTGGCCCCAACGAAGAGGAGGCTCCGGCTCCGGCTCCGCTGGACCCTGTGAAGATATACATGGGGTAGCGGTGACCTGCATCCATCCTCCTCTCCATTATGGGCCAAACAGGCTTTGAGCCAGGTCCTGTCCCCAAAAAAGCCTCCTGCCGGGATGAGCCCTGCCTATGGAAGAGGGGTGACGGGGGCAGGCACTTTCCCCTGTCCAGCCTCAACCCCTACATGCTGTGTCAGCCATCTCCTAAACACGCACCTAAAAAACTCAATGCCCTGACCCCCTACGGGACTTGGGTGCCCAAATGCCATCCAGCTCCCAGGAGAGTGCACGACCCGAATGCCGGTGCCGCAGGGACCCAAAACTGCCCAGTGTGCTCAGTGACCGAGGAGCCCGGTGCCCTCTCCAACACACTTCTGTGCACTGCACGCTTTTGCTTACCTTTTTGGCTCTGGATTCGGCTGGGATTTGGATTCTTTCCTTTTTTTGGACTCCTTTTTGGAATCCTTTTTTGTTTCCGCTTCAGCGGCAGAGGCATGAGACACTTTGCCCCCCTCGCCGTCTGCACTTGGCTGTGACCCACCAAGTAATTCTGCCATGTGTTGGCTTTGGGGAGTGATTGAAACGCAGGGGGCAAGGCCAGCAGCAAAAGTGAAAGAAACAAGAAGAAAACATGAAAAAACTCAAAATAAAACAAAAGGGAACGAAACTGAAAGCAAACAACTGAAATCAAATAACAATTGGCAGAGAAGGAATGAACGAGCAAAAGAAAGTCAGAACTAAAAAAGAAACTAAAGAAGCAAAAACTCGGTTTCCATGACAAGATGTATGAAAGTAACTGCGAAAGCAAGCAGCAGCCTTGCAACGTGAAACCTGGGCAATGTGTGCCATAATTCGGGATGGTATTTACCAGAGGGTTTATGAAAACACATAATTATTTTATAACATTCCTTTCTTCAGCAGCATATGCAGGATAGAGAGCAATATCTCAAAGTATGTAATGCAACTTAACAGAAAAAAAGCAGAAAAAGAAGCTGCAATAGGTGCTACAGCTGTCAACAAAATAAATAGAAAAGGAAAAAGCACAGCTCCAGTTCCTCCCACCAAAGATTTGCCACATTTGAGAGAAAGGAATGGGCTACTTCTGAAATTGAAATTGCTTTGCAACAAAGCAAGATAAAATTTTCAGTTATGCCTAAGCAATTTCTGAACTGACGTCACACACACTTTAAATGGGTGCCCGAGGGCTTAAAGCCCTTCTGAACGCTGAAGTTTGATACTGCTGCAACTTGTCAGATCCTCTCGCACAGCAATTAAATCAGCACAGTGTATCATTTACTTCTATTTATTCAACCCGTGACAGTCACATGTGCTTCAACTCTAGCTTGTCCAGAAGTGCATCTAGCTGGTGCCTGGGTAAGAAAGTTAAAACCGCTCATTTCTGGATCCTCTACGTGCATTTTTATTGCTTACATTAAACAAGCAACGAAACAAACAAATAAACCGACTATGCCACTAGAAGCGCTGCTGCCAAACATCCACTGTGAAAACAAATTGGGGACTGTTGTGCATTATCCAAGGAAACCTATATTTGACAAAGTCATCCCTTGCTGGCAGGGAGCTGCTAGCCGAGAAGAATTCCTTACCTGTTGCCATGAACATGTGATGCACAAAAGGCAAAGCTGTAGTGAAGTAAGGTGGGGTCAATCATAGCTCCGTTTTCTGCGCGCTCTAGCAAATCTCTGAGGTAGCAGAGATGTCTGTGACAGCCTCTCACTCCATTACGTGCACAATACTCATCTAGCACAAAGACCTGGCCAGGACTAAACCAGCCCTGTTTAGAAATAGAGAGACTTGATTTTAAATATAAGTTATTAAATACAAAGGCTATCAGATTTGGAGGTGTAGTGGACAACTGTTCTAATGAAAGAAATACAAACCTAAGGCTACGTTAAGGAAAAAGGAGAGAGGTCATTCTTAAACAATACAGTCTGTATATCATCACCCAAACACAGCATATACTCAGTGCAACTGTTAATAAAAACATATTATGCTACCATTAAAGGGAAATGTAAATTAAAATGCTGAAAAGTTAGGCCAGTTCATGTCACTGCCTAGCAAAAAAAGAAAAAAAAGAAAAAAAACAAAAGACTTACACCTTTGAGAGATGACAAAGGTTTGGTTATTTAAACAGCGTGAAACAGTAATCTCATTTCGGGGATGGGACTGTACATTCGGCCAGGAGTAAGACGACTGATCTGGGGGAGAGCATGGAGGATTACACTGAATAACGACTTCTCTTGCATCTGGCAGGCAGGAACGTCCTGCAGACGGAGGAAGGCAGCTCCGCAGGATCAGAGGGGGACGTTTCCCATTGTCCTGATTGCGTACCGCTGGCGACGCGCTCTGCCATCGCCCACGTCCTCGGCATCGAAGCAAAGGGAAGCTCTGCTCACAAGCAGGGTTTCTTTACACATCCAGAAACCTCAGACTATTTCTGTCTGTCAGTCCTGAGGGCCTGGTGACACACGGCTTGCGGTGCAACGTCCGTGCTCCCGAGAAGGACGCCCTTCCCCACGAGGGAATGGCTCCGGCGAATGTCCCGGGACAGCCGAAGCGGAGCGCGCCTCTGCCTTCGGGGAAGGCGCTAGCGAGAACAAGAATATTCTTGTAGATTGCTTTTCAAAATGCTGCAAAACCATCAATATTTACATGGAAATTTGGGTGCTAAACAATTGCTAAGACGCAGCTCTGGAATGCATCAAGCTGCAAAATCTTTCATCGTTTAATTGAAAAGTTCCTGCAGCGGGCGGGAGAGTAGTTGAGGCAGAGCACTGCCCCTATAGGCAACTTCTTTGCCACCCCATCTGTTACCCCAAATGCTACATCTTAGAAACAACACTGCTGTGAAAGATTAAAATATATTTTCTACCACTCAGATGACACCAAATCTTTTCTAGATGCCAAAATAGCTGCTTTGAAAAGAGTTGAAGAAATATCAATTAAGAGCTCAAAGACATAGAGAAGGATTTGCTCATCCTTATTGGGCCAACTCCAAAACAGATTGAGAAAAGAATTAAAATAATGAGGGGAAAATGATAGATATAGGGAGTAGCTACAGTGCTGGGATCACTAGAAGTGCACATTTCAAAATGAAGCCACAGAACAATGCAGATGGGACGGCACTCTGGAAGGCTATTTTTTGGGAGGGGTATATTTGCCTTCACGGCTTTTAACGGTATTTTTGTTTGCTTTTTGGTTGGTGGTATTATGCTTGATTCTGGATTTCTTTACGTTGCCTATTTGTTACATCCTTGGACTGCCTCTTCACCTTGCCTCTCTTCACACAAGTCTTTGGCGATCAGGCATGATAAAAATATAGAAATGCTGTAACCGTTCTGCGACAGAAAGATGTGCACATTCGGTTACTGGGGTAGAAATGCAGTTGAAATTGTTATATTCACCTAATACATACAAAGAACTCAGTCCAGTGAAATCTTGGCCCTACTGACACCATCAGGAAGGCTGGCACTAATTTCACTGGAGCCAGGTATCAAGCCGAGTGTTTGGGGTGAGAGAAGCAGGAGACCGGACCCAGCGATCCAGCGCACCCCACATTGCTCCCCTGCACCGGGCTCTGAGAAGTGCTGGTCCTCAGGCGGACAGAAGGGATGGGGGCAACCACTCAAGATCGCTGCCACGGCTCACTGAGGGAAAGCCTGAGCAGAAGCTCAGAGGTTCAGTGGTGAGCCTCATCCCACGATACCTCATGAGAACACGGGTAAGCAGACTACGGGTGGAGAGATCCAGAGCCCAGGAGGACCAAGTGGTCTCCTTCTGCACAGCAGAGGTATGAAACAAAAATCCTGCTGTTGAACGGGGCTCCAAAGGAGCAGTAAATGCTGCTCCCCACAGCCCCAGAAAAAAAATCTAAGGTTTGATGAAAGGCAGTATTCGGACAAATCCCCCACGTCTTCAGGCAGATCCTGGCTCTTGATTAAGATTTGCCCAGTGCAACCAGCTGACAACCAGTCAGTCTGGCAAACGCAGCTGATAGCGGTGACACATTGGGCGTCTCACCACAACGCAGCTAGGTGTAGCTCAGTTTGGTCTCCCAGATGGTCTTCAACGGCATGAGGAAACCTAGAGGGGACATTGGAAAAAGGCCATAGAGCACAGGGAGCTCAACTGACCGTGTTCAACAAGCTGAACTGCATCAAGAAGGGGACACGTGGGCACCAGTGGGGAGTGCAACTGGAGCTTTGAAACTGGGTAAAGCAAGGCTTGGTCAGGGTTGGTGAATCACTAGCAATATTTCTAATGGTAAACGCAGCTTTTGCGAAAACCAGGGTTTTTGAGGGAAAATTTTCACTTTTCAGTGAATTTTCTCATCTACCTTTGGTAAAACAAAACCTTTTCATCTGACTCCTTCACATCATCTCAGCTAAGCTGGACACTCTGGAAGACCACCCTTCCAGGGGTGTGTTGTACTATGTGAATCCCACAAATGCTGAATCATGGGAAACACAGCTCCAGCAGGGACCCAGCTGCATGAGCCGGATGCCGACAGTAGGTTGGGAAGTCTTGGGAAGAGTTGAAGGGCAGTCTCAGAAACAGCACACATGTCCAAGCAGAAAGGAATGAAGACCCACGCATTGTGTGGGGTCCATACTAAGCTGGAAGAGCTGCATACTCTTCCCAACAGTCCAGGAAGAGCTGTGAATGCAACCGTGCTACCAGTTTGTGGACGATGGGCACGAGCCCTCAGCAAGTGATGCAGACAACGCTCTTCCCCTTCCCCATCACAGTGCTCTCTGCCAGCAAACATCACTTCTGCCATAGCTGAGATTAGTCAGCCAGCCTGTTTGTTTTCATAGGGATGCCTGGCTCAGCCAGCGAGTGGGCTCGCAATAACGTTTAACCTGGTTCCACGGAAAGGAGGCAACGCTGAGTTATCCTCTGTGTCTGGGTAAGTCTTCCCTGGGACCTCCACGTCCATGTTTGAAAACAAGAAGAGGTGTGATGAGGCAAAACTCCACGGGACCTTGCATGGGAATGTCCTGTAGGGAGAATAACAATTGCCCAGCGGCACACAGAGCGGACAGACCAGGCTTACCACAGGCTCACAGCTCCTCCGGGCAAGCTAGCGCAGTGGTATCACCAACATCCCAAAGACGTAGCAAGAGCAATGGGAGCTCTTTGCAGTTGAACTCAAATTTTGAGGTCAGTCTGTTTTTCTTACGCCATAATCAGGACAAAACCATAGTAAAGTAAGTAAAGAAGCATGTGAAATCCAAGCGTAGGTGAACACAGGCCATTATTCTCTTCTTTATAACACTCTGCAACGGGTGATTTGAAAGAAGATGGTTAATTGGTGATGCTCCGCTCCGAAGAGGCACAAGTCTTGGTGCTGAGGGGAGCTCCACCACTCCGGTAGCTTCTAGCAAGGGCCTAAACATCTCGATAACAAGCAGAAGTGTGGCTGGTGGGCTTCTTGAAGAGAAACATTGTTAATCATTTTCAGTGATGGCCTTGCACCTCTCCATGAATTTAATTCAACGGCCACAGCTCTCTCACCAGGCCCGAGACTGCACAGAGACAAACCAGCTGCAAGCCAACCTGTCAGACATGCATGGATGGGGATGGTCTTCCTAGGGTCAGCCATGCGTGGGGAGCAGAAGCTGCATGCCAAATTCACTGCTTGCCGGAGCAAAGACCTCGATGGAACCAGTGAGAAACCTGCTGCAGGTCTGACAATGCTCCCACCAAGCCTACATGTACCACTTGGGTATCTGCGGGTAAAGTGCACGCTGCAGCCTTCCCCCACCCCATCCTTACCTCAGGGGACATCCACAACTGTTCCTCCTAGCCCTGCCTCTCATCAGGAAGGTGACAACTACCGCTAATGGCATTTACTGGATCTTAGCCTTTCTGAGGAGATCAGCCCTTGCGTGCGGTGCAAGGAGCAGAGCAGGTGAGAGGAGCACCATGGTGGAGGAGGACGTGGAGGACAGGATTTGAGACTGACAGCCTTACTGCCAACTGCTCGGTTGTGTTCCCAGGTTGCTGCTTTTAACAGCAAGCCACTCAAGACTCCCAGCTCCGGGGACGGCACAGCTGACAAAAGGTGAAGGCTATCGGCACAGGGTGGTCCTTCTGCTGAAGACACAGACCCCAGTGTGGAGGTTTCTGTGCAACACAAGGAGGGTGGCAGGTCAGGATCTGTCCCGTGCCATGTTCAGGGCAGGATCGGTATTTCAGGCCCCTCTAGAAAGGCTTCATCCTGTTGTTTTCTCAAAACCTAAGAGCCTCTTCATCCTCCCCATCGAAACAGCTAAAAACTAATTGTTCAAGTTGTATTGTTAAAGGTTATTTGTCATTTAAATCCTCACAATACCCAAGAGCCCCCCAGCACTGCACCCCAGCCAAAGGCTACAAGCTGTCCTGGAGCATCTCAGTGCCACTGCCCTATAGACCATGTTACACAGCGGTGGGCTGAGAGCTGCAACCTGTGCTCATGAGAATAATCAGGATGGGCATGCGACTACGTGAGCGTGGACAGACTGCAGCATCATTGCAGTTATCCACCTAGTCCCATCTGTTACCTGCTTGGGTTCCCTGCTCATAAAGAGACACAAAAGCTGGGCCACAGTTATTCCTGGTGGGGCTCCATTGACATGGGAAGTGGTACCAGCCCATCATCTTTCCCCTGTTCTTTCATCCAGAAGACTCTGGAAGGCAGTGTGGAAGGCTGCAAAACACTGCTCTCTACTTCACATCCCCACACTGGTGTTTGTCTTTGCAGGAAGAAACATTTTAAGCATTGCAAACAGAAATGGTAAAGACAGTGCAACTGGAGAAGAACAGCAGTCAGTTCACTGCAGGTAGCCTCTCAAAAGAAAATACCTCTGGGCCAAATTCAAACCTGGTGTAAACAGAAGTCAATCTTCCAGCAACAGGGGGATTAGCCCCGACTCGCACTAGCTTTGACTTTGCTGCTTGATGTTTATATCACTAGAGACCAAAGAATATACTTGCCAGACAAGAATAGGAATCATTAAGTCTGTGGTCCAAAGTGAGGCGCTGAACCATCTCAAAGAGTGAAGCGTGGTCAAAGTTACAGGGATTGGAAGAGATAAATTCATCCATGCCATGCTTTTGAGCTCTATCTGCATCTGTTCATTTATACATATAGAGAAAGACACCATTTAGAGAGATATAAGACATTTTAGCTGACAAATACAACAGAAAAAATATACAGTATGAAGCACGAAAGCTAAATATCTCCTCTTCCTACGTTGCCATTAACTTTTCTCTTTGCAGGCTATACAGTACAGTTTTCACCTCCCATTGTCAACTTGCATCAGTTATGGACTATCTTATTGCATTTAGGCAAAAGATTTTCAAATTAACATCTTGTCAACTGCTCGTTATAGTGCATTTATTCTGTACTTAAAACCAGAACACAAACCCAAGAACTTATTCTGTATCTTACAATACGCTAGGAGTTAACAGAATTTTGGCTCACATAAGTAAATTAGCTCCTATTTAGATAGTTGCGGTTAATTATAATAGATTCTGCCATTCTAACAAAGTTACAGCTGTAGCATTTTTCTCTGCATTTACTAGGTTTTCTAGGTATCAAACCAGTTACGTTGCTCTTTATCCAAACGCCAATGTTTGTCTCCCCGCGGCAATTTTTTTCCTAATGGCAACTTTAAATGCTACCTCACTGAAATAAAAAGATGCTCTTTTAAGCATTGCTAAGAAGTTAAATTGATACGTAGTTTGTTGTCACTGAGGCAGTAACCCGATAGTGCACCGGAGCTGCCAGTCATCCCGACGGAGGGGCTGAATTTCCCCTGCCTGGATTACAAGCTGCCATTTTTGGGTGAATTAACAGCCTCAACGTATTCACACTTCTCTGCTTTGGGTGACGTTTATGGGCACTAACTCCTAGGGGCTAATTAATTAATCTCAACATGGTTAACTAAAAATACACCGAATTCAGCAGTTAAAATGAAGCCGCCAAGCCGGCCTGGGTGCGGCCAGCCGGGACCCCGCTGGGAGCAGGCTTTGTTCTACCAGCGGCTGGGGAATTAAAGGACACCTTTCACTCGGTTTTGTCCGTGCTCAGCTTCCTACTATATGGGTTCTTGCCAAATCCTCCACAAAGAGAATAGGATTTAAATCCTTCCCCTGTTTATAGCCTCCTAGGGGAACTGGGTGGCCTTGAAACAATGTGGCTGAAAGGACACAAAAAATGCAGTTCTCCGCAATAGTAGTATACGGTAACTGTATTTGTTTTAAAACAAAATCCCTCTTTACCAGAAGAAACAAAAATCCTTAATTTAATACTAATAAAAAAAGAATACAAGGAGCTTTAAATGATAATGGGATAGCGTTCTTTTATATATGTTTTACTGTTTAATATTAAGCTGTGAAAGATGGCATGTCTTCCTAAATACCTCGTTCATGTCTGTGCTCTCAGATATTACTGATCATTGGAAGCAATCTTCACATTTTCTGTATAGTCTGTCATTAGCTATATACAAACTATATAAATAACATCACTCACTGGAAAGAAATCAGACAAATGAAAACATGTAACATTACAGTTAGCTGCTAGCAATACTTAATTCAGCAGTAGCTGGCAAATTTTCCTCATTAAAACCCTGCTGAATAAACACTGATTTTTTT